TTTAGTGTCTTTTGGTGTATATTATTTAAATACCAAGAAAACACTAACAATAACGAATAACAATTTATATACAACAAGAACAAAACGAAAACACAAGTAACAAAAAGGCACAAGGAGTGAAACAAACAAACGAGAACAAAGTGACAAAAAGAACAAGATAATGCAACAATAACAAAGACAACAAAAATGAAAACAATACAGATAAAAGCAGAAACACTTACAAAGGGTAGCAGTAGACGGTAGACTGTGTAAAGATAAGAATTTTTGGGAGTATTTATAGGACAGGGTTGTTAGTAGATTTGATAGAAGGTTCTAGAAGGAAAAGTAGTGAGAGAGAGGGTGAAGACACTAGTTTGTAGGAATACACAGAATTAGATAGTACAGAATTCAAGAGAAAGCAATTAAGGGTAAAACCAGATATTAGTATGGGAGTACATGCAGGTATGGTTGTAGTTGGATTTCTGGGTAAAAGTGATTGAGAGAACAATAGAGTTTAGATTGAAACGAAACCAAAGTATTTACAAGATAAGAAGTTGAAAAGAATTGAAATAATATTTGAAGTGAAATAATATTTGAATTGAAATATTATTTGAAATGAAATAAAATTAGAAAAAATATTTAGACACACACACAAAAAAACAATAAGTGTTATTTCGCCACACGTATTTATTAGCACACCACAATATCTTGTAGTTTTCAGTTTTACACAGCTGGCATATATCAATCCGATACTGTTTTGCAGGCTATTTTGTCGTAATTTATAGAATTTCGTAGTTCCTTGCTAAAAGTACGATAACTAGTGATTTGGCATATGCTGATATCAATTTGGAACTGCAAAATTCCATAGACAATGACATTGAACCCGGAAAACAATATCGATCCAATGTTTTAGATTATTCGTTTCCAAGGAGTTTAGAATTTTTTGGGCTCTCTTCAGTTAAAGAATTAGAAGGCATTCATGTAACGTCTCATTGTCTTCTTTTTAAGGTTCTAATACCTTCAATGACCAATGTGAGCAACTTTCATTCATTTTATATAATGTTTTATCGCTGATACTAGCAAAACTTTTAACGGCAAAAATGTATTTTGCATTTTACAAATAGAAAATACGTTTGGAAAAGTATTTCAAATAAAATACAAAAATAAGTATTTTTTATTTTGTATTCGCATTTAAAATGCAAGTATTTCGAATAAACCACATCCCTGCCGACGAACCTAAACGCTAGCAAATCGCACATTTTTAAATTGCTTTTCCATGTTTTATGCTCATTTTTAAAACATAAACTTTAAGCCATAAATAATGCTCAGCCCACCTGGGGTAAAAGTTTCTTTTATGTAGTTAAATGAATATTGCTCGTTAATGATGTAAATGGAATTACAGCGAAGCGAGTAAATCTATCAACTGATCTTTGTGTTCGGTACGAATCGATGGGGATTCGATGGTTTATGTGCCTCTCCAGAGGCCGGTTTATACTGTCAACTTAGTCGGCGAGGAGTTTCTAGCAAACACAGGGAAATATTCATTACCTTCAGTCTGTAGAAGTCCAATAATGGAACCGCAGACAGAGGGCGATTGGACGAGAGTCCGCAGCTTCCAAGCAGAGCACATCGCGAGCTTGCCGTTGACGTACTATTTGTCGGACGGATTGCCAAGTTAATCTGAAAATATTGTTCGGATATAAACGTGTTTGTTTGTTTGTTTGTTTATTTATCTAACTATTTGAAGTTTAAGTTTGAGGAACACAACGAATGCGTCTTCTTCTTTTATTTATTTAATGGCTCGCCTACGATTCTAAGAGGACTTTTGGTAAATATGCTAAGAAAAATGCGAATTTCATTAAATTGTTTAATCCAGTACAATGAATATACGAAAGGACTATTATAAACAGTGGTGTTGTCGAGCCGGAACGCTCCGGAACGTCGTTCCGGTACTTTATTTTTGGACAGGAACGCGTTCCGGAACTAAAGATGATTTCTGATAACGAGAATTGGCTGACGTATTGAAAAAAAAAATTAAAAAGAATTGCTGATTGTTTTTCTAATTTTTGACGAATTTCTATATGTATTATTATAAACAAGGGTTTGAACCGAACCCGAACCGGAATAAAAACCTGAACGAACCGGCTTGTTTTTCCGAACCGTGAAAAGGGCCGATCCTGGCGACGGGCGAAAATTGGGGGGAAATCCCCCCCCCCCCGTCATCGTCAAATTTGGGACATGAGACCACACAGAGCGGCCGCCTACCCAGGATCGGCCCTGTCTATATAATTATATATACGCATTCCGGTAAAAAAAAATTAGCACAACACCACTGATTATAAACGAGATTGCTGGCAACTGTTTTAATGGGGGCACTTTCTTTATGAAATGCAACAACTTAATACATTATTTTGCTGTTACAACGAAATATTTTTTACTGACTTTTACCTGTTTTTTGTCCAAAAAGTAACATTAAAAAGACACTTTTGATCATTTTTTCTCTTGAAAATGAACAAAATATAAATACTATTGCAAATGGAACTATCAGTTTTGAGCTTACAAAATGGTAGATTGTACGAAGTATGTAACAAAAAATCAGGTTTTAAATCACACATTCTGGAAGAACATTATGAATTCTTCAATTTTCTTTAAAATTCCGGGAAAAAATAACGTTAAAATAGTGGTCATATCAAAATGATTCTTTCCGGTAGAATATCGGGAAGGTACCCACACTTTGTTTTTTGGTTTTAATTGATTCAGAACGGTTTAACTCTAACAACAATATGCGAATTTATAAATGTTGTACCTCATCATCATCATCATAAGATCGTCAGTCCTAAGACTGGTTGGACACGCACCTCCACCTTTTCCTATCCTGAGCTAATCTTAAACTAGAACATCCTATATCCTTAACTATTTATGAATGTAGATCTATCTCTACTCCTCTTAACTCCTGTTTCTGTCTTTAATATGCCTTTGACTAGCTCTCCATGTCTGAGAAGGTGTCCTACTAACCTATCTCGCCTATTTTTCTTATTGACTTCCCCAGTTCTTTGTTCACCTATTTCTAATACCTCTTCATTTCTAACCTTCTCTATCCAGGGTATCCTCATTATACGCCTGTAGCACCACATTTCAAACGCTTCTAACCTTTTCTTTTCCGCTACGTCCATCGTCAATGATTCGCACTCGTACAGCGTCACGCTCCAAACATACACCTTTGACAATTTTGTTTGAATTTCTAGGTTAACCGTTCGCGGCATACAAGTGACTTCTTCCTAAATATTATACCTATACAACCTTAAAAGTAAATAGATTACCTACCGATACGCCTGTTTACAAAAATTAAATTATTTTCTGAGAGGGACTAGGGAGTTTGGTTGCCTGAGGACCCCCTCACATGATTAATATGTAGTGCATATACAAATTTATAAAATTATTGTGTAGTTTTGTGTAGCGGTCTACTGATTACTTTATTATTGTTACGATTCAGTCGAAAACTCACCTTATCCCCAGTCAGTTTCAGTTGCTTTCCTTCTTCTTCGTCGATTTTCGTCAGATCTTTAACTGACATTCTTGTATAAAAAATAAAATCAACACAGACGTGTCTGACTCTACGTCAAACTGTTGGTTGTGACAGCGACATTCAATAGTGCCTTAAAGTATCGTGTTTAACATGGATAGGTATGGAAGTTTATGAAGCGATACAAACAAATGGTAACTATGGATACTCGTTCAGATTACAGTGTGGGACAACAAGGTTTCTAACTTTGTGGCAATTCAGAAACTATAATTATAATACCTATGTATTGTTTTCATTACACCCCAAGTCATTATTATCGCTGGTAAGGTTTCATATTAGGTACCTGAAGGTAACGGAACCCTATTACTGTATAGTTATCGATCTGTCTCATGTCCTTAACTTGGGAATCATTGAGGCTACGGTAAAGAGGAGCATCGTGGCTGTTGAAAAATATTTCCAGATACTCGAAGCTTTAATCTCTAAGTTATCTCAATAAAAACTAAACTTTTTTGCGTAAATTTGAAATGAAAAAGTTCATTGAATATTTCCTTTAAATTTTCAGTGATGCCACAATGAATTAAATTATAATAATTAGTTGTAAGTTATTTTAAATTTTGTTTTAACTTCACGGAAACAATTCAGTGATGCCAGCGCTATCTATAATTTCTACAAATAGACGGGACAGGCGAACCAAAAGTTTTAATCTCAAGGGGATCATCATACGTGGATATTAGATATTTCATAATAATTGGTAAAGGAGATCGGTTAGTTAAGGTCATTTTCCGTTTAATTTATCTGGAAGAAGGGTTACTAAGGATTCATGGCTACGGTGGAAGTCTAGATTACCCGCTGTCTTGCTTGTTAACTTCTTGTCTTGTCTTAGTTGCTTAGCAAGACAAGAATTTTTTTTACTTCTTGCTTTGCTACTGGCTTGACGTTTTTTGTATTGCTAATTCTTATTATTGCGCTGATGTGGGGAGTCCCCAAGTCTAGTTTGCCTTAATTCGTGTAATATAGAGATGTGATTTATTTGAAAAATTTGCATTTGAAACACCTATTTCTATTTCGCATTTAAATACTTTTTTGAGAAAATCATTTAAAATACTTTTCTATACGTTTTTTCTGTTTGCGAAATGCAGAATATGTAAAATATCAGAACCAAAATAGGGTTTTAAATATTCTTTTGATATAAAACAATTGATGTTGGTTTTACATCAATAAAATTATTTACAACCCTTTTCATTATCATGTCCTTTTCTGTTATTAAAACGAGTGTTAAAGGCAAATAAGGCAGCATGTATAGGAATTCCTTATAGTTGAACTGAGAAAACTACAATGTATACTTCATTTACTTTCTCTAGCGATGTGCCCCTCCCAATATCTTGGATGCGCGCTGGCAAAATCGTAGGTAGGGAGAAAAAAGCTCATTATACTCTCGACTCTTGTTCATTAAACATACGAGGGTGGATTGATAAGTTTCCGGCCTAACCAAGAGATGACGCCACTAGGCCTACCTTGAGGTGACATTCTATAGTACCATCCTTGGATAGCTTGTAGCTATAGTTTCAGCCCGATCTCCTTGCTAGTGTAGGTTTGACAGCACGCTGAACAAGACGCCTCTGTGGTTTTCGTAAAAATGGAAAAGCAGGAAAATCGTGCTGTCATCAAATACTTTTATTTGAAGGGGTTAACGCCGAAGGAAATTAAAAAAGAGATGGACTCAACACTGGGGACATCCTCCCCGTCATATTCAACCGTTAAGCAGTGGGTTTCCGAGTTTAAAAAGGGTCGTGTGAGCACCTCTGATGGGCCTCGCTCAGGACGCCCCGTTGAGGTCACAACTCCAGATATGATCGAAAAAATTCATCAAATAGTGCTGGGAGACCGCAGATTGAAAGTGCGTGAGATAGCTGAGACCTGTAAGATGTCATATGAACGTGTGCAACATATTTTGCACCAACATTTGCATATGGAAAAGCTCTGTGCAAGATGGGTGCCGCGTTTGCTAACAGTCGACCAAAAATTGATTCGAAAAAACATTTCTACCGCAAATTTGTCATTGTATAAGCGTAATCCAAGCGAATTTTTGCGTCGATTCGTAACCGTTGACGAAACGTGGGTCCACCACTACACTCCTGAAACCAAAGAACAGTCTAAACAGTGGATTGGACCAGGGGAACCAACTCCAAAGAAGGCAAAAACAATTTTTTCGGCGAACAAGGTTATGGCTACTGTTTTTTGGGATGCAAGAGGTATTATATACATTGATTACCTTGCAAAGGGTAATACTATCACTGGTCAATACTACGCAGACTTATTGCAACGTTTGAGCCACGAGGTGAAAATTAAACGACCTCATCTGGCGAAGAAAAAAATCTTGTTTCATCACGATAACGCACCAGCGCACACGTCAATCGTTGCGACGGCTAAAATCAACGATCTAAAGTTTGAATTGATGCCGCACCCTCCTTACTCTCCAGACCTAGCCCCGAGTGACTATTTTCTGTTCCCTAATCTCAAAAAATGGCTTGGCGGTAAGAGATTTGCGGACAATGAAGAAGTAATCGAAGCTGTAAATGGTTATTTTGAGGAGCTTGACGAATCAGTCTATAGAGATGGCATTAATAGACTGGAACACCGCTATGAGAAATGTATCAGCCTTGGAGGAGATATGTTGAGAAATAAAAAAAAAAAAATTTTTAAAAACCTTGTTTTTCTTGGTCAGGCCGGAAACTTATCAATCCACCCTCGTACTTTTTCATACAGTACCTGCTAAAAGTTTTGTTCAATCATGAATAGTAGTGCGAGTCGAAAACAAGCGTTAAAACTTTTATCTTAACATCTCGTTGATATTTTCAGTAGTAAATGGTACCAATAATAGCACATTTGAGCATTGCAATTGTAGTGGATAAAATGGTCAATTTTTCCGTGCAGTACTGTATGGATTATACGCTCCTCACCGGTTTAGAGTTTAACGGAGAGTTGTCTCCTTCTTTTTCTGGCCTAGTGCTGTTCTTTTCTACTTTGCGCCTGTCAAACTGAAGGTCACATCGCTACAGAAACTAAACGAAGTATACTTATGTATCAGTGAATAATTTAGGTAAAACTTGCTTGTTTTCTTCTTTTATATTGAAGCATTATAGAAGTGGAACCAAAAAGCAAGAATTCTTGCTTCTTGCTAATTTCTTGCCAAGAAATCTTGCTCTTACTAAGAAACATTGTTTTCTAGTCTTGGACATGTAGGAAGAACAAGAGAAGAACAAGAAGTTCGTGAAACACTAAACATGGGAGAATAAAATTCGGAAGAAGCTTTCCGTTTGAAAAAATGATAAATTATCTTCATTTCTTTCTTCATCTAATATACGTAATTACCATCTTCCCCTTCTTAAATTGCCTCATATATAAGACAAAAGTAATCAATACTTTACTATTAATTTAACTTGCTTTTCTTGTCTGACGTTCTCTACGCTAGAAGCAGTGTAAACCGATTTTGGACTAGTTCTCCTTGCAATAATAATTCGACTTTTATTATCACTTACTTGTACTGAATAAATTACTTATAGCACACGGAATACCCACATTTAAAATTTCCTGCTGTGGCAGAATCAATGCACTGGTTTCTTGCATTTGACAAACAGCTTTTACTGAAAAGCAAACGGATTATCTGAATCCTTCGGTTCGCTGGCGTGATTTCCTGCGGATCGCTCTTCAAGAAAACAGAAGGGTTTGGTGCGGGGCAAGAGAGTGGCATTAAAGCGTGGAACGTATTCATTAAAATCTTTTGACGGTCGAAGCATGCATAAGAGGGTCCATCATCATCATCATCATCATCATCGCCATCCTTACAATCTCATGTTCATTCTCGCAGACCATTTTTCGACCGAGTCCGGTTAATGTGCTCCCTTTTTTACATTATAAGGAGGCGCGAGGGGATGCAAAGGAGGGTTGGCCAGCCTTCTAACCGGAATAATAACACAGAAGAATGTCCGGTCGCCCTTTTACACTTACTCGCACGTTTGTTGTTCACTTATCCGTGATTTTATCAATTCACCCGTTTCGTGCCGAAAAGAAGCGACCTTCTTCTTCGTTAGTTTTTTTTTTCTGTTTCCTTTTGCCTCTCGTCTTTTCGAACTTCTGCGCAAATTCTGTTTATGGAGAAATAGTCGAACGGTGTCGGTACGGCGAACGCGACACTGAGAGTCAGTCGCGACTTGTCCGCCCTTAGTTCCGGTTGCGTCACCGGAGCGCCCGGAATCGCGGAACTTCGCGTAAATAGTCACGTGTATGGTAAAATTGATTTCAGTGAGACACGTATAAACTAAACGATGTCTGTGTCGATCAAAACGAAAAATTTTTTGAATTTGTGCTATTGTTAAGAACTATTTAAATAAATTTACGTAATTGTATAATATGTATGTAGACATATAAAGAATATGTGTCAAATATTTAGTTCTCTATGTACTTTTTCAACCAATAATTAAAAAGTTCTGCAGTCGTGTAGTTTCGTAAAACATAAAAAGTAGAATGAAATAAATATTTCGTTAGGTTTTAATAGACATGAGAAAAGCACATAAAAATTTAGAGTGTCCTTTGTCAAAGAAGTAAAAGAATTTAATCTACCATTTTTCCACTTCGAAAATTAACACATTTTGGTTTATGTACTTTTATATTTCTCGAATTACTGAAAGGTAAAAGTTGCCTAATTTTTCTTAAAAATACAAAAGATTAGTTTGGTTCATCAGTTTCGTCTAAACGAAAAGTATTAATTCAACTTTTTCCCTAAATTCCAAATTAAATTAAAATAAACTGAAGTACTTTAAATTAGTTTTGAATTCTGTTTGTTTTTTAACATAAAATACTGTTTACAAAAACTGATGTTAGTTAATAAATGTGTAGGTTGCATGTATTTGTACAATTTCCGATTGTTTTCAGTGCATCTACCAAACTTTCGTGTATTGTACCCAGTTTTGTAAAATGGTTATGTTAGTACACTTACCGTACTGTAGTTTATAAATATACTTAAATATGTCAACAGCTCGTTTATAAACTGTTAATGTTCTAAATAATAAGTCTCAACAAAGCGAATCCAAAAACATGAGTGTTGTATGTTATCTACATCGTGCGTTCTAAGATAGAAACATATGATCTACATGAACGTCGTTCTTCATCTAATATGTATGCCTAAGTAGTGAGAAAATTGGATTTTTAGAAAAGGGTGAGTAATTTGTTGTGCGTGAATAATTTCATAAAAATCTTGTGTTAAACCCACTAGAGCATCTGCAAGAGTACAACAATTTGTTTATGTTAATAATATTTGAAAATTATTTCCAAGGGTGGATTTTTGTGAGTGGGTATGTAATCTGTATAAATGGAAAACCAAACATAGAAAGTACATATTTACACGCATGTTATGACCAAAAGTTATATATTTACAAAAAACTATTACATCATCATCATCATCGTCAGTCCTAAGATTGGTTGGACACGTAACTCCACTCTTTCCTATTCTGAGCTAAAATTCGCATTTCCCTAAAACTAGAACAATCCACATCCTTAACTATTTGCGAAAAGTAATCTAACCTAGGTCTACCTCTACCCCTCCTAACTCCTGTTTCTGCCTCTAATATGTTTCTGACTAGACCTTCATGTCGGAGAAGGTGTCTTACCAACCTATTTCGCCTATTTTTTACTGACTTCCATAGAGTCCTTTTTTCTCCTATTCTTTCTAATACCTCTTCATTTCTAACCTTTTCTACCCACGTTATCCTCATCATTCACCTATAACACCACATTTCGAAGACTTCTAACCTTTTCTTTTCCGCTGCGCCCACTGTTCATGTTTCGCACCTGTACAAATTAACCGTTCGCGAAAAATATTTTATAACCTAACCGCTTATCATATGAACCAATTAAAATATCTTTTTAATTCTTAGACGTAACTAAAACTTTTCATTTTAAATAAAACAAAACTATATTAGTCATCCCTCTTGCCCTCCTATTCTCTTTCCTAAACCTTTCCTAAATTGAGTCGCACTCTTACCTCCTGCTCCTAAAATTTCTTTGTGGTTACTCCCTACCTTATTTTCCCCAACTTCTTCTCTTGTATGACTTAAACTTTCGTTTTCTCTTCCACATACTCTACACTTTCTCTCCTCCTCTTTTAACCAATATTTGTTCTCATCATATTTGTTCCCCATTCTGAGCCTCGCCATAACTGTCACATCCTTACCGTCATCTTTAGGCCTTCACGGCTGGCTTACTTTGATGCGGTTGCTTCTTCCGGACTGTTTTACTGTGGACCATGGAGTTTCGCCGTTCTTCGCTGACGACATCTTCAGTAGTGACTTGACGGTTGAGGGTCGTTTCTGATCAGAGAAGAACGATGGAGCATCTGAAACTCTACGGATCACGGCAAAACATCCCAGAAGAAACCACCGCATTAATATCATAACCTTATTTCTTCTCAAATACTCTGGTCTTAATATGTTATATCGCCTGCTAGTTTTTCCACCCACTATTCTTCTTAAGTCTTATCCTCTTGTTACCTCATAACAGCTTTTCTTTATCGTATTACCTGCACCCCTTCCAAAATTTTTCTCTACTATCAATTGCTTTTTATTTATCATCGTTACCTCCAAGGTTTTTTCTTCTTTCTTCATCATATATATCTGTTTCTCGTCCCAATATCCATAGTCTTTTTTCTGTATATATTTTTATTATGCCTCTTTCAAGTAATCACTCCAATTTTTCCTTATAACTGATTACTATCCTTCACCTTTTCTCCACATTCTGTTTCTCTTCTTAAGATGCAGTTCAGCGAGCTTCTTTCCAATTTTAACATTCATTTATGTATTTTTTAAAAATATGTTCCACTTGATTATATCTTTTCCACCCCCGGATTTTCACCCCATAGTTTGTACTACTGAGTTGAATAAAATCATTCATCTTTCTCAATCGCATCTTCACTGTTTTTGCCCAATTCTCCATAGTTTTCCCGTTATTGTATTTGCCCCTGCAATTTGCTTATTTATATATGCATCATCCTTGTTATTTTGTCCTATTATACGAGGGTGGATTGATAAGTTTCCGGCCTAACCAAGAGATGACGCCACTAGGCCTACCTTGAGGTGACATTCTATAGTACCATCCTTGGATAGCTTGTAGCTATAGTTTCAGCCCGATCTCCTTGCTAGTGTAGGTTTGACAGCACGCTGAACAAGACGCCTCTGTGGTTTTCGTAAAAATGGAAAAGCAGGAAAATCGTGCTGTCATCAAATACTTTTATTTGAAGGGGTTAACGCCGAAGGAAATTAAAAAAGAGATGGACTCAACACTGGGGACATCCTCCCCGTCATATTCAACCGTTAAGCAGTGGGTTTCCGAGTTTAAAAAGGGTCGTGTGAGCACCTCTGATGGGCCTCGCTCAGGACGCCCCGTTGAGGTCACAACTCCAGATATGATCGAAAAAATTCATCAAATAGTGCTGGGAGACCGCAGATTGAAAGTGCGTGAGATAGCTGAGACCTGTAAGATGTCATATGAACGTGTGCAACATATTTTGCACCAACATTTGCATATGGAAAAGCTCTGTGCAAGATGGGTGCCGCGTTTGCTAACAGTCGACCAAAAATTGATTCGAAAAAACATTTCTACCGCAAATTTGTCATTGTATAAGCGTAATCCAAGCGAATTTTTGCGTCGATTCGTAACCGTTGACGAAACGTGGGTCCACCACTACACTCCTGAAACCAAAGAACAGTCTAAACAGTGGATTGGACCAGGGGAACCAACTCCAAAGAAGGCAAAAACAATTTTTTCGGCGAACAAGGTTATGGCTACTGTTTTTTGGGATGCAAGAGGTATTATATACATTGATTACCTTGCAAAGGGTAATACTATCACTGGTCAATACTACGCAGACTTATTGCAACGTTTGAGCCACGAGGTGAAAATTAAACGACCTCATCTGGCGAAGAAAAAAATCTTGTTTCATCACGATAACGCACCAGCGCACACGTCAATCGTTGCGACGGCTAAAATCAACGATCTAAAGTTTGAATTGATGCCGCACCCTCCTTACTCTCCAGACCTAGCCCCGAGTGACTATTTTCTGTTCCCTAATCTCAAAAAATGGCTTGGCGGTAAGAGATTTGCGGACAATGAAGAAGTAATCGAAGCTGTAAATGGTTATTTTGAGGAGCTTGACGAATCAGTCTATAGAGATGGCATTAATAGACTGGAACACCGCTATGAGAAATGTATCAGCCTTGGAGGAGATTATGTTGAGAAATAAAAAAAAAAATTTTTAAAAACCTTGTTTTTCTTGGTCAGGCCGGAAACTTATCAATCCACCCTCGTATATCCCAGGTAGTTACATTCTTTGACCCGTTCTATTACTGTACCCTTCCATTTTACTTCTTCTACTTCTTTCTTTTTTCTGTTCCTTGTCTCTCCAAATTTCATTATTTTCTCTACATAATTCTAATCCCTTCTTCTTTGAATATAATTCCAATAATCTTACCATACCTCTAAATGCATTATAACTTGTCACCAGCAGAACAATATTAGATATTTGTATAAAATATCGTCTATATTTGTTTTCTTCCGATGACGTCTTTTTTTTTATGTCTCTTGAGCGAAAATGTACAAAATGGTGAGCGTGTGGAATATATTTTTTCAACTATATCTGTCTCAAAATCTCTCCTATTTCTCTGGAAACTGGCCTAAACTAACCGAATTCTCAATATCTCTTGAGCAAAGCATATTAACACCTCACAAATGCCTTAAACTGCACTTATTGGACTCATATTACTTCATTGTTTATTTGAAAAGGTGGTTGAAGATATTTGTACCAATTTTACAATTCCACGTCCTATTTTTTAAAAGATGATGCCACCTTTTAATGATTTTATGTTCACCAGTATGTATAAGTTCTTGGTCAATAGTTTATCGAAAGTCAGGTGTGTTTTGCAATTTTTCATCTTATTAGATCTCATCAGCACGCTGTAGGCAGTCTCGTTCTTTTTAATTGAGTTTATGACGTACAGAAACTGTCATGGAGCAGTTGGACAAGTAGATATCTTAGTAGGGCACATCAATTACAACAATACAAAATATTTTTCCATTATCCCTTCTGGGAAATATGAAAAAATATTTGCTTTTTTTAAGGTATTTCTTGCGTCACGTAAATTATTTTATTTTTTTTTTAGTGAATTAACCTGGAAAGGACGGCAATGTTTGTTTTTCACCAGGGTAGCGGATGACACAGGAATGCTTTGCATTTAACGGGTATTTTTTTCATGAGACTTTAATCCTTAACCTAATCTCTCCGGATATAATTTTATAAATTGAAAAAGAGCTAAAACTAAATTCGGTTGCTGAAGGCTCAGTTTTAAATCTAACGCCACTTCATTACATTAAGTCAACAGAAATATTGGTCTGAGCTTCTGATATTTCTTAACATCTCTGCAGCCACGTGAAAAGGTCGGCCCATGAATTGCTAAAAGTGATCAAATCTTAAGCTTTGAAGAGTAATTTGTATTAAAGGAAGCCCTTTATCCGTTTGTATTTTTCTGAAAACACGGAAATGCTTTCCCTTCAAAGTAAATATTGAATCGCGAAAGGAAGCAGAGTAAAAACGGATTTCTCTTACCGTTTCTTTCGGTTATTAATAGTATTTTTTTAATTATTCTCAGTTCGTTCTCAATGATAATTAAAAGCAATTTTGGGGTAATTTTTGTTTATATTTACGTTTACCAATGTAATCCATTTATTTGAGAGAACCTTAAAGACAAAGTACAATAATATCACTGTAGATAACAAAAATAAGTTCACTTAAAAACAGTCATGGTCAACTTTATATATGTATACAAACGTATGGGAGCTTTAAAATGACACTTTAAACTGTAAAGTGAATGCAAAAAAAAAAATCGGGCTAAACAAAACAAAAGTTTCAAAATAATGTTATATAATATAAAACAAGCACAAATTGTTCTTTTTTTTATGAAAGTTCAAAAATTTATTCTTCCTACAACGCATAAATTGACCAACGAACAAAGTAGTACAGCCCATTTCAATTTGCTTGAATTGTGACCTTGAAGAAATCTGCGCGAAGATAGAAAGAATACACAATAAGAGTGAGCAAGACAGAAATAGTTGGAACAAGCTTGAACGAGCAGACCTCTCGATGGGCGGTCTTAGGAGATCGGCTAGAACTGTACAGTACTAGACGAAAATGTTTAGCAATTTCTTAAAACAAAAATGTATATAAATTAACAATAGAAAACAAAGCAAAAGTTTTATAGGTGTGTAGAACGTTAAGTTAATTC